GAATTGATAATGAATCACATTGTAAAATTCATCAATTTAATACATCCTAGATATTCATTATATTTATATCCTATGAATATCTTCCATCTGTTCATCATACTTTCTATAATGTCTATGATGACACCCTCTACATTAAAATATTTAAGTGATTCTATTACCCATTCATGATTTACTGAGTCATATGCTTTCTTAATGTCATAATATGACTCTACATATTTTGGGTATTTCTCTTCTTTTTGCTGCTTTAACATATAACTGTTAATTAATCGTTCTTTAGCATCAAGAGATTGCAGTTTACATCCCAATTGATTTTTACTAATTTTTAATGATTCATTATTCATGTCAATTCTATTATGAATCTTCTCTTTTAATATGGAGGTAAATACTTTCATTATTACATTTGTACAACTGACAGGACGATAATTAGTGACATCGTTCATATCACCTCCTTTGTGGATTAATATAGTTCTTCCACTTACCATGTCTAGAGGGATGTTTTCTGGGAAGTTTAACCAATCATTGAAGATATTAAGAATGGAATCTCTTGATGATGACATTCTCTTCCAATAATACCCATATATAGTGTCAATACCTGGTGCTTTCCAATTACTTATTTTCATCAGGCTTAGATTTAGTTCATCCATTGTGATGATGACACTATCATAATTTCTGTATTTTTCATTCCACGAGGTGATTTGTTTTATTTTCCAATGTTCCTTATTTAATATCACCTGTGTTTCATATAACGATTTCCAATATTCTAAAGTAATATCGTTATTTGGGTATATTTCATTTTGTGGGTCTTTCTTCTTTATTTTGATTTTCTTATTAGAATCAAACATGATTTTATTTGTATTGATTCTGACAATTTCATTCTTATTAAATTTAATTCTTTCTTTAATCATCCTCATCATATATTTTAGGTACTTTATTCTTTCTTGTGCTTTCATTTTAATTTCATCTGCATCTTGTTCATTCAATCTCATGATGCATTTTATTCTGTACCATTTCCTTCCCTTGACTAGATCTTCTAATCTATTTATTTTCCTTAGGATTTCTTTTACTTCATCAATTTTATCTCATTTAAATTTATTTTGGAGATAGTAATGCATACACTTGAAATCCTTCATATCTTCTTGCAGATTTTCTATTCTGCTTCCTGACCATACCCATTTATTATTAATTTCTCTAATTAATTTATCTGATTCTTTCCTTTTCCAGTAGTAATTAATATTTACACATTTATCTATTTTCGTTTCTTTAACTTGATTGATGATAGAGTTAAGATATTCATCATCAATATCAGTAGAGTTATTTTTTATGATAATGTTTTTTATTATTGAATTACACTGTATTTACCTTCTATGATTGAGTTCACTTTCATTTAATATATCTTTTAATTGTTTATTTTATTCTATATGACTTTTTAATATTATTAATGTATTCTTTCTCACTATTTACATTAATGTTTACTACTTTTATTATGCTTTCTATTTGTTCCCATCTTAATTTCTTATTTAATTTCTTATTTAACAAATTAATTGCAAAACAATACAACACATCAATTAAAATTCTATTTGTTTGATTTGTTGTGTTTTCTTCTCTCTTGACTGATGATCATTTCTTGTTTTTTGACACTCAGTGTTTTGCTCTCTTCTTCTTCTATTTCCAGAATTGTCTTTTTCATAGGGGTAGTTTTATTCATTTGTATTGTCCCAGATGATGATGTTCTCAATATTGGTTGTGTATTTATCACTAGAGCCATTGTTTTCTTCTTCTCCAGTTCCTTCTGGGATAAAAAATTTTCGATATTTTCTTGTTGTTTTGATATTAATTGTTTTTGTTCTTCATTTTCTCTTTGTGTATGGTCTAATTATTTTCTTGTTATTTCTGCAATCTCATAGTTTTGAATCGCACTTTTTTGATATACAGAGATTTGATTTTCTTTATCTCTTATGTTCTTCTTTAGCAGCTTAGCACTCTTCTCCAGCTCGTCAGCCCTCTTCTTCTCCAGCTCAGCACCCTTAAGGACTTCGTCCTTCTCTTTCTTCAGCCTCTCATAGCTAGCTCGGAGTGTGAGGATGGTTTCATCCTTACCTCCTACTTCTATGTTCCTTCTACCATTTGCTTCTTTTATTTTTCCTTGTAATGTATTATTTTCCTCTTTTAATTTAGAGTTTTCTTTTCTTATTTCATTAAATGTAGTTTGAACTTGTTTATTTGTGTTTGAATCTTTTCTATTTCTTCTTCAAACTCTTTCCTGACTGTTTCTCGTGCTTTTTGAATCATTTCATCTGAAATGGTTCGTTCTTCTTCCATCTTTTTTGTTTGAAGTTCTTTGATAATTTCTTCTATTTCTTTAATTTTATTTTGAAGTGTGTTAATTTCTTATTTGTTGCCTTCTTCTTCCTTTTTCTCTTCTTTATCTTGTGTTTTCTCTTTATTTTCTTTTTCATTTATTATTCTTGCAGCTTTACATCTATCATTCATTTCTTTGTTTCGATTTTTGTGTTTGATTCCTTCTTCGATTGTTTTAATATCTTCACTTGTCCAATCTTTTGTTTTATCTTTGAATTCTTCTTTAATTTTCTCTAGTGTTTTCTTCTTTCTTATTGAATATAATTCTTGGAGAATATTATACCATTTCTTTTCTTTACCATCATCCTTTTTAAGTAATTCTTCGTATTCTCCTTTTTCCCATTTTCTTGTTATTCTTTTAATTTTCTTTTGAATTTCTTTTGTTGTCAACCATTTAGGTTTCTTGTTTGTATAATGTTTATTACCATTATATTTGCCTTGTTTTTTATTTGTTTTTCTTTGTGTTCTTCTTTTCCTAAACCCTTTTTTCCTGTTATTTCTTTTATCATAATTATTATGCATTCTATTGCTATTGAAGTCCTTTCTTTTCTTTGAACATGAATACCTGTGTCTTGTTTGATTTTCTTTACAAGACCCTATGGTATTACTCAATAGCCATGGCAACAAAATTTGTTGTATATTCTGCATTGATAAAAGGATCTATAAAATATAAAATCAAATATAATAAATAATAAGAATAAGAATGAATATATCTTATTTTATTATTATATTCTTCTCTTTATATTCTCTCATTTTATTATTTTATATATTTATTATAATTAATTTGTAATATCAATTTCATTTATAAATAATTTATTTTTATTAAATATTATAAATTATTTATATTTAATAAATGATGAATTGTTATTGATTATTGGTTGTTCTGTTATCTTATTTTATTCTTTATTTGTATTAATTTTATTATTCATTAAATTTGATTTGTTATTTTATTTATTCATTTATTTCATTTTATATTTACATTATTTTATTTACATTAATTTGTCATCATTTGTATTTAATTTAAATTTGTTTGTGTTTTATTCATTTCTTATTGTATTTATTCATTTCTTGTTGTTTATTACACAAAATACATTATTCATTTTAATTGAATTCTTTAAAAAATACAATTCATTATATTTAAGATCATTCTTCATTATTTATATTATGAATATAAAACTCTCATTATTAACATATCATTAATTCATTTGATTATTAATATGTTACTTATTAATGTATTATCATTTCTTTTTATTTATCACATTTTATTCTTGTTGATGGTTATTATTGAAAATATATTATTATATTGTTTATTTTAAATTATTAACTCATAATTATGATTATTGTATTATTGTATTCATTTCTTCATTACTTTCTAATTTATTTAAATCTTAAATCATCTTATTATTTCTAATTATTATATTTAGATTTATTTATGAATCATTTTTATGAAGTATTATCATGTTTCTTTTTTATCTTTATATTATTTATTCTTTTTATTCAATTATTTAATTTCTTATTGTTATTCATTGTTGTATTATTTCTATTCATTTATAACAATTCCTAGATAATTTAATAACTCATTACATTATTTCTATTTCTTTATTTTTTATTATTCTTATTTCTAATGAATATTAATGAATATTATGAATTAATTTCATTGTATTTATCATTCTTTTCATCTTATTATTCATTTTTATATTATGTATTAAATTAAACTTAAAACAATACTATCTTCTTATTTTTATCATTTATTCATTCTTGATTTTCTTATTTATCTTCATTATTTCTTTACATTCTTATTTGTGTTTATTATGTTTTATTTTATTAAACTAAATATTAAATTAATCTTTCTTCATTTAAAGAATTAATCTGATTATTCTAAGAATAATCATGGTTATGTTTATTATCATTATTAGTATTCCATTTGAACAACCATCTTCAATACATTTATTATTATAATTAAATTTATATCATGATTCATAATATGATAGTACACATTTTTTACTCATTTCTCCTTTATCTCCACATTCATATCCTCATGTTTTATATTAATTTCTTTATCACACTTATTATCTATTTTTAACTAATCTTTTATTATTTCGATTACATTTTGTTTGATTTTCTCTATTATCTTCTTTGTTTCTTCTTTAAATTTTTAATCACTTTTCTATTCTATCAAATTGATTAATATTCACTCTTTCATCTATCATATCAGTTAGAAATTCTCTAGGAGTACTTTCATTATATAGATAATCTATATATTCAATATAACTTATTCAAAGATTATATCCATATTCTTTTAATGTGTCATGAGGTTCATATATATAAAAATCTCTAATGTTAGAAGACGGTGATAATCTAACTTCAATTTCTTCATTTTTAATATATGGATCTTCATCAAATAATACAATAATAGCACCTCATCATTCTTTTAATCATTTTGTAACAAATGAACATGATGAATAACAGTATGAATCTGTATAAACTACTATTTCTGTTGGTTTTCTTGTTTTTCTCATTAATTTCTTTGTTTTCCAAATCCAAGTTAATTGTTGTGAAACATTATGTTCAACATCACCATATTTAATAATATTTGGATTTGAATACCATTCTCCAAGTAGTTTTGTTAACAGACATTTTTCTCAGTTCACATTTGTTGGTCGTACACACATACTATAATCTATTTTCATTCTATCTTCTGTAAAATCTGATATTCTTACTGTAATATAATTGGTATCTTCATATGGTGATATCATTTTCTCAACAATGTATGAAAGTTGTGATGAATATCCTCCATTCTTTGTGAATATTAATTGAATTGGATATTCGTTTGAATCAAATAAATCAACACATTCATTTAATTTCTTCTTGAAGTCATTTCTCTCATTGTCATTTTCAACATGAAAATTATTTACAATTAATTGTTTATTTTGTTATTTATTGTTAAACAACATACTTCTTCTTTAGAAGAAAATATGTTGATATTCATCATTTTCATTTTGTAATGTTCTTGTTTCTTTTGTTTCTTCTAAATATTCTATTCTTAATCCATCTCTTATTCACCTTCTATTACTTCTTTCAATACCTCCTTGAACACTCTGATTCGTTTAATTTAATTATCTTATAATTAACTGTTACTTTTTCTTCATTTTTCCATTTAATAGTTATTGGTGTGTTTAAATATTCTTTTGATAATGGTAAACTATCAAATGTTCCAAATGTAATTTTTGATTTACTATCTGTAAATTGTGCATGTGAGCATTTTAAAGCAAAGTACTTCTTTCCAAGTTCACGAATAATATTAAATGGATCTTCTCTATTTATTGTTTTAACTGGTATATTCTGATTATCAACTATTTCTTTTACTTCATTAATTGGAAACTCACCAACACTGTTTCTTTGAAATAAATACATTTTCTTATTATTATTATCAATTGGTATTGAAAATGGAATGAAATAATTGAAATAAACTAATTCAGCATTTAGTTTATAATGATTTTCATTACAATAAATTTTAAGTGAATATCTCTTGTTGAATTAATAAGTTTTTGTATTTGAGAATAGAAATCATATATACTTGTTGTTTCTGTATTTATTTTATTTAGTTGTTCTCAATATCCAGTTTTTCATATAATTATTTGAAAATGATGGTTGTGGTTGATTCTTTAATATATCTTTAAATACATATGCTTCTAAATATTATTTTAATAATTAATAATATCATCATTTTCTTGTTCTGTAGTATGAATTGATTCAAAGATTCAAATCAACTTTATATTTGATTGAGTTATAATGTATTCAATGCATTGTTTTGATAATGAAATTGTAATGAGTATTACAATTAAAATATTCATGTTTAATGAATATATCTTTCTTATTTATTCTTTAAACAGTCATTTATCCTATCATTTATTTACATTATTTCATGAAATATTATCATTAAATAATACAATTTTATTACAATTTCAATTCATTCATCTTTTTATTCTCTTTTATCATTTTATTATTTAATACTCATTTTCATTCTATTATCATTATGTGATCATTTCAATTTACAAATAAACATATTCACTATTTTAATACAATTAACATAAAATCATTGTTGATGATTGATACATTATTTAGATAAATTAGTTGTTGTTGAAAGAAGTGATAAAATAATTAACAAAATAACAAGTATTGAAGAATACTAACTTTTTAATTATTTTAAGTTATGAAAAACATAATGATAATATAATTAAACATTCTATGAAATGTTTAATTATATTCATTACCAAATATTCATATTTTATATTTACAATAAAAATCATCATATTGTTGTGTTTCTCATTTAATATTTAAGTTCATTCAAATATGAATTGGTCATTATCATATGTTGTACATTCATTAATAAAATGATGACATTCATTGATTTGTTTATTTCAATGAATCTTGATTTGGTATTGTCTTCTCTGTTTTCATAATAATCTGTTAGAAATGTGTCGAAAACAAATGTATTTCTTTTCTAAATCCAACATCAATTTTTCCATGAACAATCCATTTTGCAGATGTTCCATCTGAATAATATCATCTTGTATAAATATTTTGATGTTGATTTACAATATGAAAACATGATAAAATACATACACCATCAACTCGATAGATATCAATTTTGATTTCTAAATGAGTTTCATACACAAATTCTTATTATTTTAGTTTTTCTAAGAAGATTATTTGTTTAGATGAAATGTACCAAACAACTCTTGAAATGATACTATATCATAATTGTTAAGTTCTTCATCATCAAATCTCATTATCTTTCTTATAATCATTTCATTGTACAATAATTCATGATTGATAATAATGAATAATGGAAATAATTTAAATATTTGATGTTGAAGAGGATTAGTCATCAATTTATTGTTTGAAAGATGACATTCAATCAGATATAAAGTGAAAAATATAATGATTGATTTGTTCATTTTTTAATTTAGAATAATGATTGATGTGTTTTATACTCTATGATATGAGTATAACGAATAAGATATAATAATATTCTGATAATGTTATTTGATAATATCATTCTCTATTTGAAGAACATTCACTTTTATCAACTATCTCTTTTTCTAATTATTTAAAGAATCATATGAAAAATATGAATGAGAATTCTCACAATTGAATGTTGACGTAAGAAAAATACTTCATTCAACAAAAATCAAAATAAATGATAAAATAAACGTGTTTGTTTATTTTATTTAGAATTTCATTGTTTATTGTATCTTCTTTCTCTTTATCTTTCATAATTACTTCATCATCAATATTAATCATGACAGTTTGTTTCATAAAAATAAATTATTATGTTTTAATTTTGAATATCATCAAATAAATTAACAATGTGTTATATCTTTATTATTTAACATTATTTTAATATCAATTTGTTGTTTGTATTTAGAAGAATAAAATAATTAATAATGGTTATATATTTGAATTATTCTTTGTTTATTATATCTTCTTTATTTATATTTATTTCTTCTTATTCTTTATTTCTTTATTTTTCATTCTTGTTGTTTATTTCATATTTATATTCATTGTTGTTATTATCATTATTGTTGTGTATTTATTATTATTGTTTATTTCTCTATTTCATTGATAAATTTCATTATCATAATGATGTATTGATATTATTTTATATTGTTATTCTTGTTGTATATTATTTATCTTTTCTTCTTATTCTTACTATTATTTCATTTTATTATTATTTATTGTTTGTTTTGATTTATCTCTTTCTTCTTTTTTAATTTTCATTATCTTCTTTTAATTTCTTGATAATGTTGTGTTGTTTGTTAATTTATTCTTTATTATCTTCTTCTTATGTCTTTCTTTGTTTATTTCTTATTTATTATTCTTCTCCTTTTACACCTTTTATTTATTTCTTTATTTTGATTATTATCTTTATTTCCTATTCAATTCTTTTATAATTGGTTCTTTAACTTTCTCTCTTTATTTTATTTTGGATTAAATATAATTCTGTCCGATTATTCTTTTTCTTTATCATTTATGTCTATTTCTTCATATTCTCCTTTTCAATTTACTTGTTATTTTCACTCCAATTTCATTCTCTGTTATTATTACATAATTCTTAAGTTGTTATCCTTATTACCATTCTATTTACTCATATTTTTCTTATCATTTCTCATTTCATCTTTCTTTTAATTCACGTTTTCGTTGTATTTCTTTTACCATTTGTTATATACTTTATTGCTACTTCATCACTATCATATGTATTCATTATTGATTATTTCATGTTTACTTTTGTGTACAATACCAATGATGTTATTCAATGATAATGATAATAAACATTATTATATTCTTTCCATTGAAAATGAATCTTTTTAAAATAGTAAAAACAAAAAATAAAAAAAAATACAAAAGTTGTATTTTATTAATGGATAATAGATCAACAACTTCAGTTTATAGACAAATTACAAAACCTATAAAAGCAAGAACACAAGGAGAATTAGTTCCTCGTGATAATATTATTCAACTCATGAAAATGCTTGATGCACGATTAGCTCCTGATCAAGAAGTTATAAGTTTTCTTCAAGACTTAGTTGAAGAATATGTAATTGAAAGTGCAGAAGAAATGATGGTGTATGCCAGACATCGATCCGATAATACTCTTGATTTTAGAGATGCAAAACTATATTATGAACGTCAATTCCATCACAGTATTCCTGCTATTTTAAGTGTTATCCAACAAAGTCATCTTCCAACTGAGTCAATTCTCAAATCAATTTATAAAAAGAAACCATTAACTAAAAACCATATTACTCATATTCAAGACTTCAAAAAAGCAAAGAAATAATTATTGTGTTTTAAAAATTCTTGTTAGTTTTTACTTTGATTTATTTCTCGGATAGAAATTTGTTTTATATTATAAAATTTAATAATTATAATTAAATTATATTATCTGAAATCAAATAATCATTGATAATATTTTATTTATTTCTTCTAAATTTTTTGAATATATTAAATAATTTATTAACAATAATAACTATCATTCTTCCCTTATAAATTGACAAAGTAAATAAAGTGTTTGTTAATGTTTAGTTAATAGTCATATCATAATCCCTATAAAGTTTGTTGTTTTGTTTTTGTTAACAATTTTATTATTTAGTTTATAACTAATTATAACATTCCAGTTCATTTATGGAATAATAAACATAGGACAGTCTTATTTTCTAATGGATGGTTTAATTGGTTATCAATAGAGAATGTATTTATATAATTGTTATGGTTTATAAAAAAGTAGTATATCTTTATAAATTCAACTACAATATAAAATGGAAATAATTATCTGCTCATTAGATTTAATAATAAATTTTATTTTATTATTTAATAAAAGTGTTTTTTATATAAAACCAATTATATTATTCAACAAACGAACAAAACGCTTGAATGCAACACGGGTATTGCTAAGTTATTCACTCGTAAACTACTAAAGATGAGAATTACCTTTGAAATTGTTAAAAACAAAAAATAAAAAACAATAGAAATTCAATAAAAAGAAAAAATACAAAGAAGAATAAATGTAATTAAAAAAGAAGAATCATAATTATAAAAATATTACTAATAAATAAAAAAAGATTTTATAGATATAATTGAAAAGAAAAGAACTTAAAAATGATAGTTATGACAACTTCAAGTGAAAAGATTGAAGAAGAAAAGAGTTATTTTGATAAACGAATTGGATTTTTAAAAGAAGAACAAACAATACTTACATCAATATTTAAAAGTATGAAAGATCTTGGAGAACATTTTCAGAGTTTACAAGAACTATTTATGAGTGATGAAGCAATGAGTATCATTGATGATGCTCAATTATCTGAAGTGATCACTCGAACAGGATTCTTATCAGGAGAAGTACTATCTTGTCAAACAAAACAAAAATATTATTTAGACGAAGTAACAACATTGTATAATGATGTAAAGAAAGCGTCAAAAGAAGTTGGAAAAACTCTTAATTCAGAAGATACAGAAAAAATAGAAATTAAGAGCACTTCAATATTTAAAGCTAAAAATAATATTCAACTTTCACCACAACTTGTTTTAAGTTTTCTTGATACATACAAACATTTTTGTATTGATGGACATGATTTTTATGAAAGAAAAAAAGAAGGAGAATGGAGAAAAGTATCAGTTAAAGATATTGTTTTATATAGAAACCAACCACTTCAAGAAATATTAAAGAATGAAAATAGATCATCAAATTGTATTCCTATTGCTATAGAACAAATTATTAAAGAGATTAAAGAACGTGGAATAGTTCAAGGAATATTTAGAGAATGTGGAAAAGTTTCAGAAATTGAAGAAATAATTAATAGGATGTCTGTTACTAATTTTAAATTATTAGAACCAAAGGAATTATCTTCTCTACTTAAACGTTTTGTTAGAGACATTCCAGGTGGACTTATTGATATTGAAATTCAAAATAGTTTAATTGAAATTTGGGGAATGAAAGATATTCAAAAGTCTACAAGAGTAAAACAAGTTTTTATGTTACTTAAAAGTTTACCAGAAGAAAATTATACTCTATTACACAAAATTATGGAACTTAATTTTGATATTCAATTGGAACAAAAAACTACTTTAATGAATGCTACTAATTTGTCAATTTGTTGGACTCCAGTATTATTTGATATGACAACTTTTTTATTGAAAATGAAAGAAGCAAATGAAATTGTAGAGGTTATGATATTAGGTGGTAAACAAATGTTTTAAATTAGCAAATTGAATTATTTTAATGTTTATTTAATAACCCCCAACAAACATTTCTTATAATAAAAAAATATAAATAAAATAATGGTTTTTAAAACAAAAATATTTCAATTTATAAAAATCTTATTATTTTTTGTCTTTGTAATAAAAAATGATTAAATTATAGTTTTTAAATAATAAAAGTAAAAGAATTAAATTATAATTAAAAATAACTTAAAAGAAATTAAAAATGTATTAAAAATAAAAATTAAAAGTATTTTATTCTTTTTCTTTATGAACTAGAAACTCTGTTTATTAAAACATCTTATGGTTTTAGTATTAAATTTCTTATATGAAATTACTAAAGTAAATGAAGAAGACAATACCAAAGAAGATGATGGTGTTAGTACATCAGTATGGGTTGTTATGTCATGTATTATTGTTTCTTTTTTTGTGATATTGTTATTTAATATTGTATTTTTTGTAATTAAGAACTGTTTCTTAAATGAACCTTCGATTGTTGAAGACGAAGAAAATAAACAAATTAAGATTATGGAATTAGAAACAAATCAAATGATGGCACCTATTTCTCCTATGAAAATAGAAACTCCAGCAAATTTCTCTAAAGCTACCACCCCTTCAAGATTACCTTCAAGACCTACTTCTAGGATATCTCAAAATTCTGTAAAACAATTTTCTAAATCATCTACTCCATCCCAATTATCAACTCCTCATTTGCATCAAATTTATCAAGACACAAAAGAAACTCAAAAATCATCATCATCATCTTCTTCTCCTATTTCCTCAGTTAGTCGTTCAGAAACTCAAAACAATTAAAAAGATTATTTGTAGAAAAGGTCGAGACAATGCTTTATTCTTAATTATTATTTTTTTGTTATTTGGTTGTCATTTTTTTATTGATTTGAAATAAGAAATTGAATGTCTTTAACTCTTTTAATTAGTGTTATAATTTTAACATTATTACAGAAATGGATAAACCAAAAAGTTTATTAGATTTAGTTAATTAATGCTTTTAGACTATTTCATTAGAAGAAGTGTCATCTATTATAATTTATAAATAACAAGTTAATGTAATTCTTTTTTTAAAAAAAATAAAGTGATTTCATTGGAAAATGAATAGTTTTGATTGGAGAAACAAATAATAATAGTGAAGAATTTTAAATAAGAATGATACAAATACATAAGGATATTTCATTCTAAAAGATTAAACATAAATTGAATAGAGTCTTATGTTATGGTTAGAGCTAAAAACAAATGAAATGTTATAATAATAATTTTAACTTAATTTTATATTCAATGATTGATTAAATTTTATAAATACTAAAATATTATATTTTGTAGGAACAATATTATTTTTATTATTTTTTAAAAATGAATATTTATTAAATTATTTGAAAGCATTTTTATATAAAATTTTATTTTTCAAGGTTCTTTTTTTTACCATTAAAGAAGTTTTAAAAATTTTTAAAAAAGAATATAAAATAAGTTAAAAAAATTTTAATTATTAGTTTTTTTAATGAATTAGACTTCAGCTATTCTTACCATTTTCTTTGTTGTTTTCTTTCTAATAATAGGTGATTTTTTCATTGTATCTACATCTCCAAGAGCATCAACCTTTCCACCAGCTTTTCTAGCCGCTGCTAATTGAGCTTTCTTTTTAGCTTCTTCAGCTTTTTTCTTCTCTTTTTCTTCTTGTTCTTTTGCTTTTGCATTGTCTTTTCTTGCATTTTTCCAACTTTCAATAAATGAAGCAAGAGGTTTAAAGAATTCTTCTGGTGCAGGAGGTTTACTTACATTTTCACCAAAATACTTTAGAACATCTTTATAAATGACCATAGTCTTTTGGTACGTTTCTTTTAAATCTACAAGATCTTGTTTAGATGCAAGGATGAATGCATTCATTACTGATAAGAAATCACATCCTTCTTCTTCTTTCACTTTTTTAACAGAATTTTCAATTGTTGCAAAGGTCTTTTCTAGTCCTCCAATTTCTGATTCAAATTGAGCACCTGGAACTTTAGATGCATCAACAACTCCAATAATTTCTTCATCCCATCCAAGTACATCATCTTTATATTTTTCTTCAACTATTGAAGCAATAAAATGAAGTAATGTCCGTTTATTGTCTCCAGTTTTTGTATCACTTAGTTTTTGTAACGTATTAAAAGAAAATCCATGACATTTAGCTCTAGCAGTTCCTTGATTTAAATAATTACCAATCAATAAAATAACTTCCATTAATCGAAGTAACTTTTTACTTTCAAGTAATTGCTTGCAAGCAATTTCAACTTTCTTAATATCTGGAAGAATTTCTGATAATTTCACTGGAAATTCTAATTTACATGCAAATGCCTCTAACTTAATATTAACTGACTGAATATTACTTAGTGCATATGCAAACTGTTCAGCAACTCCAATGTTACTTTCATCTCCATTATGTTCTTTGTAATACGCATAAACTGGTTCCATTTCTTCTTTGCTTGGAATAGCTTTTTGTAAATTTCTAACGGCACTAGCTTCTTCAAATAATGACGCATCACATTTATTTACTGCAACACAGACTTCTTTAATAGTTTTATTCTTAAATCCTTTTAATGTAATTGTTAATGTTTGGTTTTGTTTACCATCAAGAATACAAACAGGCCCTTGTTTCTTTGTTTCTTTTACCTCTGTTGGTTTTGCCCGTTCAGGGACTTTAAACTGTTCTTCGATCATCTTGAAGTCAATTGGAATTTTATCTAATGTATCCATCTTAAGGAATACTGTTCCTTGTAATTGTCTATCTGTAAGTTTCTGCCATTGGAAGTTTTTAACTTTTTTGGTCGGTTTTGGCAACATAGTTACATATGCATTTGGTTTAGGTGCAGCTGGTCTAAACCCAAAACCACCAGGGGGAGGTGGGGGCATACCCGGCATTCCAGGGGGAGGTGGGGGCATACCTGGCATTCCAGGAGGTGGTGGGGGCATACCTGGCATTCCAGGAGGTGGTGGGGGCATACCTGGCATTCCAGGAGGTGGTGGGGGCATACCTGGCATTCCAGGAGGTGGTGGGGGCATACCCGGCATTCCAGGAGGAGGTGGTGGTGGAGGCATACCTGGCATTCCAGGAGGAGGAGGTGGAGGCATACCCGGCATTCCAGGAGGAGGAGGTGGAGGCATACCCGGCATTCCAGGAGGAGGAGGTGGTGGTGGAATTGAACTTGCCCCAGGAGGAGGAGGTGGTGGTGGAATTGAACTTGCCCCAGGAGGAGGAGGTGGTGGATGTACAGTGCCAGTAGCGTTGTTAGTTATCGTTGTATTAACTTTACCAATAACAACAGTAGTAGGTCTTTCAGCAAGTTGTTTTTGTAAAGAGGTAAGGTCTTGTTTGAATCCTTCTAACTTAGCTTTAGATCCTTGAAGGGCTTCTTGTTTAATTTTCATTTCATTGTCTGCTTTTTTCTTATCATTTTCATATTCTGGGATTCTATCCTTTCTTTTTTTTAAACGATCTGATGCAGTAGCAGATTGATTTTTTGCTGCAACCAATTTGTCATTAACAACTTTTAGTTCCGAGTCAATCATATACAAGGATGCTACAGAAGAAACACTTTCGAATAGTTCATTTAATTTTACTTTCTTCCCTCCAATTTCATAAATTTCATCATATGGCTGAACTCCGTCAAGGTCTTTTCTATCAAGATCATAAAACCCAACCATTCTAGTAATGCACTCAAAGGCCATCCATTTAGACATAATGACTGACGATGTATCTGAACTAGACAAATATGCAGCTTCTTTCATTAATTCATGATATAACTTATCAATGTGTAAGTCTTTCATAATTCTTTCTAAGGAAATAGAAACTTTTTTATCATCATTTAAATCAATTTTATCTTCTAACTTATCATTTACTTTTTCAATTAGACTCTTCATTGTTTTATCATCGTCTTCACTTATTTGAATCCAGTCATCAAAGATATCCATAATAGGATCATCAGTCTCACCATAAATTTCATTAATATTTGCAATAAACTTTTCTGCACCAAGACAAATAAGCTCTGTTCTGATATCCATTCTCAAGAAGATATTATTAATATTTTTTACTATTGCGTGCATTACCCCCATAGCTGCTTTCTTTAATTCATTATTTTCTGTATCAAAAAGATTAACAAGCCATTCAAATCTAATTTTATTCTTTCTTTTACTTTTAAGTTCAGTAGATGCTTTAATTAAATTTTTAGAATTTATTTCATGAGGTGAAGTTGTAGTTTCTTCAGAATCACCACATGATTTAAGTAAAACTCCATTAACTAATTCAATTCGTTCATTTGTAGAAATAGACTTAGAAGACAGTGCTATTAAAATAGTACAAAGATATTCTGCACTACAAATAACATTATTAAAAATTGTTTCAGTTTCTAAAAGTCTCCTTAAAATATAAATAGTTTTCTTTTCAGCTTCAGGAATTTCTGTAACTTTAAAATGAGGATTCATCATAAGTTTATTAAACATTTTAAAGAAAGCATCAATTCCTTTATTTTCAATAAATTTTTGAATATAATTAGTGCTAGCATTTCTAATTTCAATCTCAAAATCTTTTAATTCTTTTAAAGTAAATGAACTATCTATTAATCGTTTTACGGCTGTTTCAGGTGTTGACATTTGACTTTTAATAATTACATTCTCTTTTTGTTTTTGTTCAATGTATTTCTCAATTAAAATATCTAATTGATCTTTTGGTAATACTGAAACATCTACTTTCATTGACTCTCCAATTTCTTTCATATATTTTTCTCGTTCTTCAGGTGTTATACTAGTAGTACTTGATTTAGATGGTATAGAATGTGTCATACTTCCTTTACTACTATTACTGTTTAGTTTTGTTGATGAAGTTGGTGTACTATTTGTACTTCCAAAACTTTTTGTGCCAGTACAATTTCCTCGTTTCTTACTATATTTCTCTTCACACTTTTTACTATGAAGAACTACTCCACATTTAGTACATTTAACTACACTCTCTTTACTTTTAAATGCTTTCTGACATTCAGCACAAATCCCTCCACTTGGTGGAGTTTTTAAAGTTTCATAGGTATGCGACATATGAATTGAATTTAAGATGCAGATCTTATAACTATATTAATTAAAATCTATTTTTATCTCTTTTTTTGAGTTCATTCAACTTTTTTTTATTTTAACCCTTCTTTTACTGTTTCTTTCCTTAACATATCTTATTTATCTAATCTCCATATCTTAGAAAAAAATTTTTAAAAAGTACTATAACAAAAAAGATTTTTTTTACTATTTTAAGGCTTTTGACGTTTTGTTTATTTTCAGATTGAACAATTTTCAAGTTTCTATTATTATTTTTTAAACCAAATACTCTTTTATCAATTAAACTTTTATCAATTTTTATTTTTTGTTAACTCATAACCAACAAGAAAAGTCTTTCTTTAAAAATTTCTGTCATAAATTACCTTAGTATGTTGTCTAAAAAAGTATAATACTTTTAGTTTGTTTTTTAACTACTAAATGAAGACAAGCAAATAAAACAAATAAGGAAAGTCTTTCATTCTGAGTTAATAACTAAAACCGACAGTTATTTATTCATCATCTAGTTCTATTGTTTAGATAATTGTTTATTATTAATTCATAAATAAATGTAAATTATGTTATTGTGAATATGTCCTTTTTTTACTCTAATATTTTAAATAATCAATAAATTAGAGTGTAATAAGGTATAAAAATAAAATATACCAATTACTGAAATGTAGATCGTAAATTATTAATTATTTTTCATTTTTACATACTAAAGCAGTAGAAAATGTTAGACAAATAGTAATAATGATTAATTATATATAATCTAACTACTTTTATTTTGGTGAAATTACATAAATAAGTTTTCGTTATTATATAACTTATAATAAATCAAAGAGTAAATATAAATTATTTGAACTATATAATTTAATGAGAAGATTGTAGAAAAGAAAAAGTATAAGATTATGTTAAGTAATAACAAATATGCTTTTCTATAAAAATTAAATATTACAGTTTTGATTTTAAATGACTAATAAAATTTATTGTTAAACAGTAAAAATATACAATAGACTTAACTGTATTAAGTAATAAACTTATTAATACTGATAAATAAATGAAACACAAATACTAATACTTCTGTAATTTTTTAACACAAAAATTAAAAGAAAATCTTTTTTTTAAATTATATTAATATTATTTTTGTTATTTAATTTTAATATTATTTATAATATATTTGTTCTACAAACTATTCTATAATAAAAAATATATTTATATGATTTTTACTGAATTGAAAGAGGCATACTAGAAGAAGTTCTATTCCCTCTTTCAGAAAACAATATATTTAAATTGAAATCTAAAATTTTGTAACACTTAAACAACAGAAATTAAAGTACTGTATTAAAATTATCAAAATAACTTCTTTCAACCACAATAACCAAGTACATCCTATTAATGATATCAGAAGATAATTATAAAAAAATAATTTTTTTTAAATACAAAAGACACATATATATTTCAACAGTTAGATAAATTTTTTTATTTTCTGAAGTGGTTATTCTAATTTATTAAATTACTCTATTTCCTATGTAGTATTGATAAAGCAAAAAATAAATTAAAAGAAACAAGGTAATAACATAATTCAAGTGATAGGTATTAATAACTATTCTTAGTATTTGACTTCTGTTCCCCTTTCATTAATGTTAAAGTATTTAAATTATAAACTTCCCTTCAAGAAATTAAAACTTAGTAAAATTGAGTTAATCCTCTAACCAATTTAAATGGAATTTAAATGTTTGTTAAAAGAACTCATTTCAATTTTTATAAAAAAAAAACAAAATTCATTTATAAATAGTTTTTATTAATTCGGTTAATGAGAATTGAGTTCTATCAAATACTTATTAATTATTTTAATAAGCTAAGAAATTATTATCTTTCTATTAGATATAATAAACAGTAAGTAAAAATAAATAAATTTTGTAATTTATAAGAAAAGAGTAATTAATGAGGAATAATAATTATTTAATTTCATTGATAAACATTATTAAACTAAAAATAGAAATATTTATAAATTATTTATCTTAAAAAAAACTTAAAAATAAGAGTTGGGGATATGAACCAGAAGAAACAATTAGAACTGGTTTACTTAATGAATGTTGTATTATTTTTTCCAACATACCGTGACGTATACAGGTTTATTAAAGTTAACCGGAAATGTTTAGAAACAATTAAAGGATTAAAAATCAATCCAAAGTTTTGTTCTTCGGAGTCCTTTGTTTCATTTTTTAAACGGTTTCAAACAGACACGTTTGAAGGTTGTGATATTTATTTTTGCTATAATGAATGGTTCGAAAAAGCCAAATGTATTAAATCACCACTCTTTCATTCATTAGTTGGATATGAAAAGAAAATATTAAATGTTTTACATAAAGTCGTTTCACTTAATCTTTATAATGATGATACAATCTCAGATACTATAAATTTCTTTATTGATCATGCAGATAAATTTACAAATCTTCAAAGGGTATCAGGTTCAATAGAAAATTTAATTGCATTTTTTAAAAGTTATACTCATAATGGAAAGGATATGTTTGTTCAATTCCCTCGTTTAATATTTACATCTACTACAAACGATAATTTTATTCAATTAAATGAATGTACTGTTGGTTTAGTTAATAAGTTAACTCAATACATTCGTCAAAATGGAGATACTCGAATTATTATTTTATTTAATACACATACATCAAATCCAGATCTAATAAAAAGAATGAAAGGAGTTGAATATCACCATCATGGATTTATCAATAATTCAACACCATATTGTCGTGACAAATACTGTTCATTGGATGGAAGTTTTTTTATTCAAAACACACTCGAAATAAATCAATTTAATGATATTATAACTAAGGCATATTCCAATTCAGTAATAATAAGTGGTACCCCAAATAGTTCATTAAGTATTAATCCAACTCAAATTATTTCTCCTTGGAATATTCCTGAATCAGTTAAAGGAGTGTCATTGCAATACATTTCAACAGAAATAAATAATAAAATGGTCCCTCTTTCTTTGATATCAGAACATTTAAAAATACTCAAAATAACTGAATGTAAATTTTTACAATTTAGAAGTGCGTCTTTTCTTTCATTAGAACATTTAAGAATACATCTGTGTGATTATATATCATTTGAAGAAACAAATGATGCATTTCCATCATTAATTAGTATTACTATTAGTTCATCATATGATATCAACCTTTCTGTATCATCACAAAAATTAGAAGAAATTCTTTTATATTTTAATGAAAATATTAACATCACTGGAGAAACTCCTTCTATTTCAAAACTTTTTATTCGCAAATGTAAATATTGTAAATTGCCTGCTATAAGTTTTGAAACACTAAACTTATTAATAGAAGAAAGTCCTCATTTAGAATTTCTAAATAAAATAAAACAAAGAGTATCACCAATGGAGTATGAAGGACTTTCAGTTGAACAATCAGAACATTTATGTAACTTACTTTTATATCTTCCTTCTGAATTATCAATTAAAGAAATGCTTAATCCATCAAATCATTTTATATTTAGACGATTTTCTTCAGTATCAAAGAGTCTAAAAATAGTTGATAATAGAGTAACTAAAACAAAAGATTTTGTTAATGACAATTATCAATTTTATAGTCAAAAATTCTATTTTAAAGATTATAACAATTTAAAAATGAAAATTTATGACTCTAATAACGTACTTCAT